CAAATGGATTTTCATAGATTAAATCAGTGGTGTTTAAGATACTGGATTAGCTAAAACTATTTTAGTAATACTCACTTGAGCAAGAATATAAGGATCTAGCCAAGTCCTTCTTCCCTAGGAATGGTTTAGCCTTGAAACCTCAACTGCTAGGTAAGTGGATTCTTCTTAGTGAAAGGAGTTAACCAAATGTCAAAGTTGCTAACCAAATGGCCAACAGAATCCTACCAATGGAATACTGCTGCATTTGCTTCAGGCTAATCTTTCATGCGCGGTTCTGTTGCGGTACCGAAAGAGGACACGAACTTCAATAAGCTCATAAAACGTAGTTAGGATACTGTTTTATTTATCTTGGCTAATAGATTGTTTTTATGTGTGTTGGAACTTGTTTCCTTATAACCTGGCAACAAATTTGTAAGGGAGTAACTAATCCTCACCTATCTCCAACTGTCTGTGGCCCCCAATGTCTGCCAAAAAGAACCTAAGAACTTTGCAAGACCTAAATCATTGGATTTGGTCTATTTGTCACAAGTGGGGATAAGGCAGCCCTTTAAGAACTGCAAAGCAAGCACATATCCTGAAATATTTTCACTAATATAAGCATTATAGATAAACTGATAACATATATATTCCAAAAAATAATAGTTCAGTAAAAAGTACGTCCTACAAATAATTAGAAATAAAGTATGACTGTTATGTTTGTATGCAAATAAATGTATTGTAATTATGTTTAAAGAGCAAATAAATGTCATATAAGTGGCTTCATAACTACTTTTCTTGTAATCCTTTCTCAATAAACTGATGATAGTGCCATAATACCAACAGAATGAAGAAACTGGCTTATGCTTCACTAACTCTTTGACGGGCAATTCTTATGTAACAACTAATTCTCAATGAATTGTATTTTATTTGCACAACTGATTGCTTAAAGTTATGTGTAAAATTACTATTATTTCTCAAATAATAGTAATGATGTAAAATGAAACACTGCAATGATGCCCTCTGTGTAGCTAAGAATTTTCTGGAATAACAGTAAATGACTAGCATATGTGTTTTTCTGGGAGAAAAGGTACACTGCTTTCATTAGATTCTCAACAGTATCTGATAAAAATTTTTCAGGAACTACTTACCATGTTTGTTTGATAAGTGTAGTATATTCTAATGAAAGCTAAAAGAAAATGAGTTGTTGTGGATTGAACTGTATCACACCCATCCTTCCCAATTCATATGTTGAAGTCCCTTTACTTCAGAATATGACCTTATTTGGAGATAAGGTCTTTATAGAGGTAATCAAGTTAAAAGAAGGTCATTAGGGTGGGCTCTAATCCAACTTGACTGGTATTCTGAAAAGAGGAAACTTGGACACAGACGTGTAGAAGGAAGATGATGTAAAGACACAGAGGAGATGACCATCTACAAACCAAGGAGAAGGATCTGCAAAAGATCCTTCTCTTAGGACTCTCAGAAGAAACAAATCCTGCCAACACATTGATCTTGGGTTTCTGGCCTCCAGAACTACGAGACAATACATTTCTGTTGCTTAAGTTTGTCGTACTTAGTTATGGCAACACCAGCAAACGAATACATAGAATTAGGATTAAATGCCACAGCTCATTATTATTATTATTTTGAGTTCCCATAAACTCAGTTCCCATAAACGGTGAAATTTAGCCAGGGTCTCATTCCTAAACTTAACATATTCTGATTTTTTTTTCCCTAGGAAAATAAAAACAAAGACAGAGAATTCATTAGCTAAAATATGGGGCTCAGGATCATCTCTATACTCGATTGGCTGCCTGAATCTGACCTGAAGACAGTAGGTATTGATGGTTGTGGCACCAACTAGGCAGGTAATTTTGAGCAAGACTCTTCCTCTCTCTGTGTCTAGATTTTTTCATCCATAAAATGAAAGACTGGGTTTATAAGGTGCTTTAAAAATTTCTTCTGTGCTATGGTTTTACTTATGAATAATGAAAACATTCATGAAATACCTCAAAACTAAATATAAATGTTTTGAGGTTTCCTTTCAGAACATTCCTGGTAAAGCAAAGTATCTTCTAGTCTTCCCACATCATAAATTCAGTTTTGGGGTGCCTGGGTGGCTTAGTCAGTTAAGTGTCTGACTCTTGATTTCTGCTCAGGTCATGATCTCATCTGGAGTTGGGCTCCATGCTGACAACGTGGATCCTGCTTGGGATTCTGCTTGGGATTCTTTCTCTCTCTCTCTCTCTCTCTCTCTCCCCCTCCCTCCCTCCCTCCCTCCCTCTGCCCTTCTCCCATGCAAGCTTACTCTCTCTTTCTCTCCCTCTCGAAACAAAGAAGCTTAAAAAAAATAACTACTCGTCATGCCCACTGACTAGAAGAGCTTAGCACAGTGCCCACTGGGCACCCAACAAATGGTAGCTATTACTATTAAAAATCTGTAACTCTTGTATTTCTAATCATATCACCTTCAACACTACAGGCACTTGACAACTGTGTCTTATATTAACTGAAATGTAACATGTTGTAGAACCTTTCCCTTGAAGATACAAAACACTAGGATTGTTTTCTCTTTCTATCCCTGTGGACTCCCCCCCCCATTCCTCTTAATCTGTAATTATAAAGCTCTCAATAGATTTTTCAAAAAATTTATAACTATCTCTTAAGTATACTCTTCTGCTCCTTGTTCCATTACATCTAATCTACCATTAGGTTATTCCATAAATCTGAAGGGGTATGCTATTCTAAGATTGCTAAAGAGAGATTATTTTCCTTCCTTCAGTAGTGCCAAAAAATATTTTATTTATACTTCTTCCATCATACATATATCTTTAACTTCTACAAATAAGATAGATTTAGTAGTCTTGGCATAAGAGAAATATACAGTCCCTGAATTATGAAAATTTCAACTTCGTGATGATACGAAAGTGATACGCATTCAGTAGAATCCATACTTTGAATTTTGATCTTTTCCTGGGCTAGCAAATATGTGGCACAATATTCTCTGGTGATGCTGGGTGGCAGTGAGCCCCACTCCCAGTCAGCCATTCCATCACTGAGAGTAAACAACTCTTACGATCATTCAGTACTCATTCAACCATTCTGTTTTTCACTTTCAGTACAGTATTCAGTAAATTACATGAGGTATTGACACTTCATTATAAAACAGGCTTTTGCCCAACTGTCACCTAAAGTTAAGTGTTCTTCAGATAGACTAGGCTAAGCTATGATGTTTGGTAGGTTAGTTGTATTAAATGTACTTTTGACTTACAATGAGTTTATTGGGTCATAACCCCATTGTAAGTTGAGGGTGCTCTGTACATTAGATGTTAATGGCTGAAGATACTGGAAAATATACCTTATTGGTAAAGGATTTCTCAAAGAATGCTGTAAAACTTTACCTAAAAACTTACTGATTTGTGATACACCTCAGAGATCAGGAAAAGACTCTCCTCACCATCAACAAGCTGATTTCAAGCTTTCAAGAATCAAGGGATCTGAGTTATTGATGTCAAAAGTATTGTTAATTTCACATTGTTTGGGGGGCAATAGAATATAATCTAATAGAGAGAGGCAATCAAATTGTTTGGAAAACTGCTGTTCTTGTTTTTAAGTACTTCTGTAACTGAAGCATGTAGTTAGTGATAATTGCTCAAAAAGTCAAATTCTAAAAACTCCCGCTTAACATTCCTATGCTTTCTTCTCCTGTATCTCACATGGCTTTTTATTCTCTCCTTCAAGTCCCTGCATATTATGGCATGACTGTCCTATGGGGCAAAAGGCTCTCAGGATTATCTTCCCTGTTTCCAAATCGCCTCTCAGCCTGTGCAACTCAGTTACACCAGCTGGATGGGCACTGATCCCAACCTTGAAGATCCCCAGGAAGACGGCACAACATCTCTCAAACATTTCCTACTGCATAATTTGTATTCTAAAGAAGCAGAAACAGAACTAAAACACTGATTTGTGTTTGTCTAGTATATACCTCCCAGTCATTTAGAATAACTGTGCAGTTTTCAAAAATTCAAATTAATTTTTTTTTTTTTTTTTTTTAAATTGAGACAGAGAGCCCACGCAGGCGAGCTGGGGACAGGGGCAGAGGAAGGGAGGAGGAGGGGGGATAGACGGAGAGAGAGAGGGAGAATCCCAAGCAGGCTCCAGGCTCACTCACTAAGCCGCCCAGGCGCCCCTAACTTAAACAACGCTGGAAGGGCAGGCTTTAGGTAACTCTCCTAGAACATTATGAAACTTCTGCGAAGGATGAAAGCCAAATAAAATACGGAGAGTGCCAAAGAGAAACGAAGAATCTCCCAGGAAAACAATTTGAAATGTGTCGGTAAGAGAATGATTATCTTGAAACAGAAACTTAATTGTGGTGGGTTCTCCCAAGGTCCGCGAGAAAAGAGGGGAGGAGAGAAACAAAGGGGCAGCTTCAGCACAAAAGATACAAATCCGACAACCGCAGAGACAGGAAGACCCTTAGGGGTTCGTCACCCAGCGCCCCGTCCGACCGGCGAGCGAAAGCCCCTCCACATATCCGGGACTATGGTCGCGCGGCCTCTATATTCCAAGACAGTCACCTCTCTTCCGCCCCCTTCTCCCAATGTCCCTTTCCGAGGACGCTGTCACCCACCTCCGAGCACTGTGCCCAGGAAGATGCATTTCTTTTTGTGACGTTTTAGAAAATTCCACATAGAGCTCAGCATCTTCAGACCCTGAAGGTGCGGGCTGTCTAAGGGCGGCGGGGGTGGGGAGGGGCTGTTCGCCAGGAAAGCGTTTCCTCGTCACTTGGCCCCAACGACCAGGCAGCAACTCCGTAGTCCCGCTCGGTGCTCTCCAGAAATCACAAACGCGACTTTCCGCAGAGACTGTCACCGGGGCGGGGAGGGGGCGTGGACTACAGGCGAGCAGCTGCGCTTTCTGCTGCTGCCGCCGCGCCGCCGTCGCCGCTCACTGGTCCGTGCCCCCCGGGTCCGTCTAGAATTCGCTCCCGAGTGCGTCGCCGTTCGACTTCCCTGGAAACCGCGGCTTGCGTCCGCCGCGTTCCGTTGCCGGCGCTCCGCTGCTGTTGCTTCAGCCTCGGGCGCTGAGCGCCACGGCCCGGGTGCAGGATGGAGGCAAAGGCGGCCTCCACGCCGGCTACTGGTGGCGCCGGGTGCTCGGTGACGGCGGAGGAAACCGAAAAGTGGATGGAGGAAGCGATGCAAATGGTGAGGAGCCCAGGAGGTGCGTGCCGTGGGTGGGAACTTTTCTTTGGTCCCTCTTCCCGACCCGGGCATTTAAGCAAACGTCCTGCGTGTGCTTTCTCGTCACCATAATCTCGATGGAGGTCACATTTCTGGGTGAACTGCCTGGCTTTACTCCCCTGAAGTTTTCTTTAGTCCATTCGCACAGTGCTGTGGGGGAAGGAGGAGAGGAAATACAAAAATCATTTCTTTTTTCACTGGTATCATGTATGAACCAAACACCCCCATTCAGCTGCTGCTGGTATGTACGTGCTGCGTCCCCTTCTTTCCCCGAAGACACACTCGCAAATCCGGAAAGTTACATTATTGTGTATTTATGACCTCTTGAACCTGTCTAGTAGGAGAAAGGACGCTGAGGATGTATCTGATAGAGAGCAGGGTAAAAACAAGTCCCTGTACAGTCAGATCTACCATTCATTCATTCATTCATTCATCCTTCCATGCTACTGCCCTGTTTTTTTTTTTCACTTCCCTCTCTCGCTCTGTTCAGGACTGCTGATTAAGAAGAGCTCTAATCAGATTTGTGTATAATCTAAGCTTTACCCATACTTATGAGGACCAGTGAGCTCTTTAATAGGGATAAAAGTGTGTGTTGGCTTATATACGTATATGTATATAAATATATGCACCTGCACACATATACATGTGTAAAATGCCCTTCAGTTTTACATTTCTCTAAGGCTGCTGTAAATCTTTTTTTCATACATGCTTTTGATTATATTCTTTTTTTTTCATATTCCTATCCTTAGTGGCTTCTGGTCTCCAATAGTTAATTAGTTCCATAATTATTAATTAATTCACTTCATACATGTTTATTGAGTACACTATGCTTGGCATTGGAAATTTAGTACTGCAGCTGATTTTGGTATATTCTTTGTTCTCTACTCATACTATTACCCCTGCATTCATTCTCTATTACAACCAAATATTTTTCTCTAAGCCATGATGTATTACAGCATCTCTCCATTTGTTTCTGTTACTTACATAATGTTCTTTTAAACTTGTTTCTCATACTTTTTTGGAAGTGGCTCACAATAAAAAAAGTCTACTTTATATTACAACGCAATAAACTCACACATAACTATAACTGAAATAAAAGTTTCACAGAACAGTATTTAACCTTCCTATGTACAGTTTTCCTGGTACTTCAATTTCATTGAATTTTTTTTTGTGTGGGCGTTGCTATTTATGACAAATGTTCCATCTGTGAGCCTCTCCAGTCAGAAGTTCTCTGAAACGATGCTGTTGGCCTTGGCTAGTAGGAGGATGGAGTCATCTGACTCCCCCATCCTGTTAACTGGTCCACAGATAGTGTAGGTTTTAAACTGGCTGTTGAACCTACTTGTCACCTGGTCAACCTCAGCCAGATTCATCTGGATGGGCACATGGTCCTCTTGGCCCAGATGATGCCCTTGCTGGTAGAGCATTTCCATGTCACATTCACATCCACAAATTGGCCGACGTGGTACTGCTGGTCCTGATCCACTGACTTGATTTTAGGACCTATTCTTTGAACACATTTCATAATTTATTTCCTCCATTAAACTTACAAGATACATAGCATTCTGATACTTTGATTATTGTTGACATACACATTTAAAAATTAATTTGTAACTTGTAATATGGATGTTTGTCCTGAACTTTTTTTATGTTACTAATTACTCTAAGTTGGAGACAAGGAGTTTTCACTTGACATCTATGAGAAATAAGCCCACTGACCTGATCAAAGGAAAGAGGCCAAGACTCGGAGCACAGTGAAGCAAGGCTTTAATCAACCAAGCGTGGGTGTCTGATGAACAGGCACATTGGTGACAGTCACAGCAGGCAATTTATCTCCTAGCACACAGGTCCCTCCCCTGATTTCTCATTGGCTGAGTACTACAGAGGTTACAGCCTTTCCCGGAGGTTGCCTATGCCCATGTAAGGCAAAAGGTATTCTGATTGGGACAAACCTATTCCCTGCAGTGAGGCAGAGACTTTCATTCCCTCCTCCCTTTATTCTATGGCACATGTTCATTGCAAAACCTGTGAAAATAAGTCCACCAGACAGAGAGCGGAAGAAGAACCAGGAAGTGAAGTGTCTAAGGGTTTGGGACTCCATTGTAGGGGGGTGGGGGTGGGGGTGAGGGTTGCACATATTTCCAGTAGGTTGTAGACCTATTAGGTTAACTGGACAGCCCAGCTTTTATTTAGTATTTCTGAAAATGAACCATCTCCTTTACTTCTCACAATATCAAAATTTCACTCTTCCCCAAATCATTTCAATAATATCTTAGGCAGCTTCTTACGAGGGAGGATGATAATATATACACAGGAAGCTAAAATATCTTAAAGTAAGCTCTCACCCTTCCATAGGTGAGAGCTCTGGAGGGCAGACGATGCCTGAATGCTAGGAAGTCAGAATTTGCGGGCCCTTTTGTCTACTTTCATTTGCTTCATGAGCTCTCTTCAAAGTATTTATGTCTGGAGATTTTCCGAGATGCTACCATAGAGAACTGAATGGAGGTTTTCAGAAACAGCAGACTTTAATAAGTCATTGAGCATTCCCACTCCTGTATCCAAGCTGTGTTTTTTTTTTTTTTTTCATCCTTTCATTTTTTGGGTCTTTATTTTCCTTTAACCTTTAAGTGTCGTTTGTTCATAATATATTGGGACATTTCATTCACATACCTCTGCACTATTCTCTAGACTTCTGGCCTAAACACTTAAGTCCTTTTACTACCTTTTGCTGCCTCCCCCTGGGGTTTCCCTTCCTACTCTATAGAAGGAGATGGATCCAAATAGTTTCCAAGATCTCTCTGGCCTTGACATTTTTGTCTCTTAATTGGATTATAAGCACTTGGGGATGGGATTGCCTAGTTTACCTATTCCTACACAGGGTCAAGGAGGCCCTTGTGGTTTGGGCCGGTACATGTTCTTGCAGGCCTTAAACAAAGGGGAGGAAGTGCTTGTCATAAATCTTGTTCTTTGTTTAATCATCTCCTCCCCACTGTGGAAACTTCAAATCTTAAATCACTTCGAAGATAGTTGAGGTGATTCAAAGTACACTACGTACTTATGAGAAGCGTTTATGATGAAACCAGAAACGTATCTAGGGCCAAATCTGTTAAGCTCTGAGGAATTTGAAAGTGCAATATGCCGTATTCATGTAATAGGTAGGATACTAGCATTTTCATAACTTTTGTACAGAGTAGACATATTTATATGGCCAATACAGATAGCTAGAATGTCTGGCTCTGACGATCTTGGTCTTACTCTCTTCATGTTTAAAATAAAGTGTTTTGGGGCGCCTGGGTGGCTCAGTCAGTTAAGCGTCCGACTTCAGCTCAGGTCACGATCTCGCGGTCCGTGAGTTCGAGCCCCGTGTCAGGCTCTGGGCTGACAGCTCAGAGCCTGGAGCCTGCTTCCGACTCTGTGTCTCCCTCTCTCTCTGCCCCTCCCCCGTTCGTGCTCTGTCTCTCTCTGTCTCAAAAGTAAATAAACGTTTAAAAAAAAAATTAAAAAAAAAACAAAAAAAACCCCCAAAGTAATTATAAAAAAATAAATAAATAAAATAAAATAAAATAAAATAAAATAAAATAAAATAAAGTGTTTGCACTAGGAAATTTCTATCCTAGTTTGTGATTTTAATATACCAACATAAGCCTGGGTTATAAGAGAAGGGAAAATGGTTTTGAGAGAGCTTAAAAATGTATTTTTTTAAAAATGTCATCTAAAATTAGTGAGTTTGTACAAAAATCAATACAACCCTACCAGTCTAATCATTACAACATTTTTGGAAGGCAACCTGGCATAATGTAATTAGCAGCCTCAAAAAATAAATGTTCATATCATTTGACCTTGTAATACAGTTGTGTGGCATTTATCTTAAGGAAATAGTTTGGGAGCATAAAAGCAATCCTTCTCATTTCAGGGTTTTATGTAATAGGGAAGACTAGGAAGCATTTAAAACTTCCAATGAAGGGAAATGGTTAAATTGTGGTATATGACTGTGTTGAATAATGTGCTGTTATTGAAACGATTATGAATACTAGGTACAAACATGACATTAACTATCACAGCTACATGTGATATTCAACATTAGGCAAACAGAAATACAAATTATTTTATATTATATGGGTATGTTTAAGTTTGGATAGGCATATGTTCAAACCCCAGAGTGGCTACTGACAGCCAACTAACTTTGACGGGTTCTTATCCTTTCAGCCACAGAGGCCTCGTCTATAAAATGGGTATATAGTATCTAGCTCACAGAGTTGTGTAGATTAAAAGAGATCATGTTTGTAAAGCCCTGACATATTATCCTCAATAAATAAAAGCTTTTTTTTCATCAAATAAACAAAGACTAAAGGAGAACACACACAAATAATTAGCTAACATGGTAAAGATATGTTTTTTTGTTTTGCTTTTTTTTGTTGTGTGTGTGTTTTTTTTTTAGACAGAGACCACAAGTGGGGGTCAGGGGCAGAGGGAGAGAGAGAGAAGATCCCAAGCAGGCTCCAGACTAACTGAGCCATCCAGGCGTCCCAAAGATTTGGGTCATTTTAAAGAAATTCAATACTATGCTTTTGTTTATTTATTTTTTATTTACTTTTTTAAAATTTTATTTTTTTAATTTACATCCAAATTAGTTAGCACATAGTGCAACAATGATTTCAGGAGTAGATTCCTTAATGCCCCTTACCCATTAGCCCAACCCCCCCTCCCACAACCCCTCCAGTAACCCTCTGTTTGTTCTCCATATTTAAGTCTCTTATGTTTTGTCCCCTTCCCTGTTTTTATATCATTTTTGTTTCCCTTCCCTTATGTTCATCTGTTCTGTGTCTTGAAGACCTCATATGAGTGAAGTTGTATATTTGTCTTTCTCTAATTTCGCTTAGCATAATACCCTCCAGTTCTATCCATGTAGTTGCAAATGGCAAGATTTCATTCTTTTTGGTTGCCAAATAATACTCCATTGTATA